ACACACACACCCTTATTTTAGAGAAGGGAGAGAGAGCACGTTTCTGGCTGACTACAAGTTTCTTTATCTATCTTCCTTCCAAATCTCCTGAGGACAGAGACTAACCAATGTTTACCTTCTGTAATCCCCCAAATCTCTCTGGGGCCCAGGTTATTCAGTAAACTTCAGTAACGAAGGTGAGATGGCAGAAGGAAGGGAAATACACATGGAATTGGAGGCCTCCATTTCCAGCTGAACTTCCCTGTGTGACGGCTGAGCGGCACTGGACCAATCATCAGACTCCCCTTCTGGCCTCTGCTTTCTCATCTGTGAAATGGGAACAATAGCCAACCAGTCTACGTTACTTAATGTTGTTTCCAGTGAACCTTCTATGAGGAAGGAGCGGTTTATTAGCAGCAAAGGGGTGGGCACATGAGGGCATCCCTTATGCTGTTAATGACTGTTTAATTGTCATAGACTATGGATGACTGCCATTCTTTGCTTGACATGAAAACAGCCCAGGGATAAGCAATCACAGTTTCAGAGAGCTTCAGAATTTGGATTGGAGTGGTTCTTTTGTAAGCAGAGCTCATGTAGTAGGTCTTATTTTGTTTCTTTGATTAATAGGACAATTCAGTTACAACCAATGGTATTGCAGCCCCGCATCCCTAGGGAGGGTTTGCAGGGTTAAGGAAGCGTAAATTCCTATGCACAAGTATCTTGGTAGCAAGCAAGGTAGCACCTTGGTGAGAAGATATCCACCAAAACACTAAAACTCAGCACTCAGAAGGCCTGCATACCAGTGTATGTGGGAAAAGCAATAGCTTATCTAACGGGGCGGCTCCTCTCTCAGAATCATCTACAATGGATATGATTAAGAAGCTGCAGCTGCTTCTACCGAGAGCAAGCCTAGCTCTTCTGTTTTTCAGAATTATAAAAATGTAGCTAAACGGAGATAATGGAAGTTGCTTTTGGAGCGCTATCTTGCAGACTGTCTTTGCACAAGATATTGACAGGAAATGTCTGCACATTTTGAGAGCCTCCTGAATCTTCAGCAGTTTTTTTCCCCTGACATATACCAAGCACCCAACACATGATTGTTCATACGAATGAATGAGCAAATGAACCAGCAGCCTAAAAGAGAGGCAGCTCTTGATCCCCAAACATTGTGGAGCCAAAACAGTAAGCTTTAACAGGGATGAGGGTGGGAGAAAAGACTGTCATATCTTAAGAATCAAATAAAATAGAAAAAGAAGCCGGGCACGGTGGCTCACACCTGTAATCCTAGCACTTTGGGAGGCCAAGGTGGGTGGATCACAAGGTCAGGAGATTGAGACCTTCCTGGCTAACACAGTGAAACCCCGGCTCTACTAAATATACAAAAAATTAGCGGAGTGTGGTGTTGCATGCCTGTAGTTCCAGCTACTTGGGAAGCCAAGGCAGGAGAACCACTCGAACCTGGGAGGCAGAGGTTGCAGTGAGCTGAGATTGCACCGCTGCACTCCAGCCTGGGCGATACAGCAAGACCCAGTCTCAAAAAAAAAAAAAAAAAAAAAAAAAGAAAAGAAAAGCAATTAAAATTTTTTTAAGAAATTACTCTTACTTAAAAGACTTAAGAGGATTTAAGTAGATGCATGTGAGCAGTAGGAAGTAAGAATCGCTGAGATGTATTCCACAAACATGTTCTGAGCGTCTTTTGTGCCAGCCATGGTATTGACCTTGGTACACAGTGGTGAGCAAACCAGCCCTAGCCTGTAGACTTGGGGCTTTCCTGTAGTGGGAGAAAATGACTTACTGTTAAATGCAAGGTGTGAACCAAAGCGGAGATACTGAGGGAAAGGATTGAGGCCCTGTAGAAGCATCCGGCAGAGGAAGCACAGGCTGGAAGAAGGCTTCTCTGAGGAAGTGAGGTTTGAGCGTGGATCTGCAGGAAAAGTAGAACATTCCACATGGAGAGCAAAGGCCTCCGTGGCGGAAGGAGGCGGAGGGTGTTTGAGGACCTCGCTAGGGCCTGAAGCCCTGGAGCGTGAAACTGAGGGGCAGGTCAGTGAGCAGTTGCTGTAGCCGCAGCGTGGTCTGTTATTTCTGAGAGTCTGAAATCTCTGAGGAGGATACTAGGCAGAAATGCTAATGAGAACACGATGTTTCAGGTGGTGAGAGTCGATAGAGTAGGCATTTGGAGGGATGTCCTCTCCCCATTGTGGATCTACCAGAACAAAATCTAGAGAATGCACAAAGGACCCAAACAATGAGCTGTCAGGCTCTAAGTGGGGAGGGCACGTGACGGAACGTGGACCTGTTCCCGCATCCCCACCCCAGGCCTGATACTGGCTGTGTGGCTAGGGACATCACAGTTTTAATTTTACACAATATTTGGTTTCTTTTAGAAAATATTTTCCCAGATAAAAAATGCTAACATTTGTGAATGGTGGCAGTGGATACATGTGTAGGTTTTATTATTCGATTTTTTCTGTATATCACAAGTTTTTTGATTAGAAGGGAAGACTTTTTTTTCAATTAGAAGAGGGGTCGGTAGGGAAGGAAGTAGGTGCTGGGAATGGTTTAAGAGTCAGGGTCCTATTCCTAGATCCAAATTGGCTCAGGCAAATCATTCTCTGGTCCTCTGATGCCTTTTCTAAGGAGAAGAGTTTTGAAGACGATGATGTTGGAAATAGCTTCTGACTCTAAAACATTCTGTGATGCTAACTTTTTAAAAACAGTTGATTATTGAATAATTCTATTTATAGGCTTGGGAATTCAGTGCCTCATGCCTACTAATCCCCCGATTCTTTTTGTTTTTTGTTTTTGAGACGGAGTCCTGCTCTGTTGCCAGGCTGAGGTGCAGTGGTGTGATCTCTGCTCACTGCAACCCTGCCTCCTGGGTTCAAGTGATTCCTCTGCCTCAGCCTCCCAAGAAGTTGAGACTGTAAGTGTGCGCCACCACGCCTGGCTAATTTTTTGTTATTTTTAGTAGAGGCAGGGTTTCACCATGTTGGCCAGGATGGTCTCGATCTCCTGACCTCATGATCTGCTGCCTTGGCCTCCCAAAGTTTTGGGATTACAGGCATGAGCCACTGCGCCCGGCCTAATCCCTGATTCTTTAAAAGTAAGAGGAAGCATTTTGCTTGGCACAGGATACCCAATAGCTCTCTAGTAAGGAAGCTCATGCGTTGAAATTCGTTTGCTCAGAGACATTTTCAGAAGCTGTGAACCCACAGGCTGCTCACGTGCATTCTGGACCAGATGTGGGAATCTGGACCCACCTGGAATGCCGTGCCTCTGTGTTAGGCATCATGCCACTCACCACGCGCCTTCCAGCGGCTCCTCTCTGGCTTAGCAGGGCAACTACCGAGTCCTTCCTCCAAATTTTAGATGAGAGATGTAGGAATGAAAGGAAACAACCCAGCAGACAGGCTTGTTTCACATGTCACTGTGTGTCAAAATCAGAGGTATGTCTTAGATTGTAGCTTCTTGGGAAAAAAAAGTTGTCCCATGAATTTGGGGGTTTTATTTTGTGTTTGGACATTGTCCAGGAGGCATGATGGGTCACCTGGAGCTTCATCAGTACCGCTGAGTGGGGACGGTGGTGTGCACGGCCAGCTTTCCAGTTGTATCAGTGACATCCTCCAGCCTGCCCCATCCCGCGGGGACGTAGCAGCCGGTGGACAGGAGCCCACACCCCACAGCAGCAAAGGAAGCCCGAGGAGCGGCCGTGCAGGCTCTCCGCTGAGTCAGCAGGGAGCGGCCTTAGGGCCCCAGCTGCCTTTGCAGCCTCCTCTCCAGTTTCTCTTACTTGGGTCAAGTTTCCTTACAATGCGTCAAATGCATGAGAATAAGAAGGTGTGTGCTGACAGAATTTCTGCTGAATAATGCCAAGGCTTTCCAAGTCAGAGCATGAATTTAAGCGGAGCAAAGTCCCCAGTCAATGGACTCAGAGTAATGGCTATTCTGCTAATCATGAAAAGTACAAATGTTTTTGCCTTTAAAGGCTCACAAAAGGGCTGTTCAGTTACAAACTGGAAACTACTCTGGATCTTCGCTTTATGGCACTTCTTTTTTGTAGGTGATTAGAAACATTTTCCACTTAGCATTTAAGGGTTTGAATAGACTCGTGACTTTTTTTGAACTAAAGTTTCCTCTTTTTTTTTTTTAAACGAACGTTTTTCTTTTTTTGCAAGTAGACTGAAGATTTAAAGTCACAGGTTTTCCAAATATTGAGACTCTGCCTGCATGATTATTATATTTGCTGTGGGGATTAACACTTTTCCAAAGTACGTTTCCACACAAGATCCTTGTTTTGCCCCGGAGTTTGGTTCTTCACAGCTTATTATGCAGATTTAGGCAAAATGGACCAAGCCCCATCCACTAGAACTTCCATTATAAAGGCAATCATTTCAAATAAAATGGAAGCCGTTTATCTTAATGAACCAAGAGGAAAATGAAATCTGCTGAAATGATCTGAACCCTTAAAAAATTGGCAATTTATCCGGGCTATATTTATTTGTATTAGTTTCTCTACGCTGCCCGTTTTATTGGCTTTCCACTGCCACCACCAAATGCTGTAGTATTTTCATTCCTTACGTTTTTTATTAGCAGGGCCACTTCTCCCTTAATAAAACCATGCCTTTTTCCCACTCCTCCGTTTCAGAGCATTCGGGGCCATTCCTGGTAAGAAGCCAGTGTTGGATAATGCTCCCGTTGTGGTGTTGGGCGGCAGAGTGCATGGATAATGGTTCCTGTTTTTCCCTCCAAATGGAGGGAAGACACAGACGTAATTGAAACTTACAATGTCAAGGGGTAATTTTATTCCATTATTTTTAATGAAAACGGGGAGGTATCACCTAGCTAAAATGCTGGAAAATAGCCTTCTAGTAGCCCTAAGCACCGACGTGTGGCTGAATGCAGGTGGGATGGAACCCTGTTCCCTCTTGCCTCCCTCCCCCAAATAGGGAGATGCCATCAGTGGTCGGGAAATGCAGCGAGCCACAGGTAATGAGCTCAGTCTCTATTTTCCTTGTCAGATCTCCCAGCTGATGACAGAGAGTGGCCGGGAGGGACTGACCGAGGCCGTGCTGAACCGCTACAATGCAGACAAGCCTTCTGCCTGCAGCGTCCCCGCCTCACAGGGCTCCTGCTTGGCCAGCGAGACTTCTGCAGGCACCTCGGTGGCCGCTTCCTTCTTTGCACGGTAAGAGAGCCGTTCAGATCCTGGGTTCTTTCCGCTGGGTGTGCCTGGTTAACCTCTCGCGTCGACTAGTTTGGCTGAAACACCAGAAAGCATTTGGGGAGGTTCTTTGATGTCACTGTTTACGGGACTTTCTCAACCATGGCATTTTGACATCTTGGGCCAGCTAACTTGTGGGGACTGTCCTGTGTGTTGGAGGGTGGTTTGGAGGGTGTACCCCTTGGTGTGTGCCTGAAGGACCCTCCCTGAGTTATGACTACCAAAAATGTCCCCAGACATTGTCAAAAGCCCTGGGGTTGAGAACTGTTGCTCTCTTTTTTTTAAGATGGGGTCTCGCTCTGTCACCCAGGCCGGAGGGCAGTGGAGTCTCACTCTGTCACCCAGCCTGGAGTACAGTGGAGTCTGCCTCCCAGGTTCAAGCAATTCTCCTGCCTCAGCCTCCCGAGTAGCTGGGACTACAGGCATGCACCACCATGCCCCGCTAATTTTTGTATTTTTAGTAGAGATGGGGTTTCACCATGTTGACCAGGATGGTCTCGATCTCTTGATCTCATGATCCACCTGTCTCGGCCTCCCAAAGTGCTGGGATTACAGGCTTGAGCCACCGCGCCCGGCCTAATTTTTGTATTTTTAGTAGAGACGGGGTTTCACCATGTTGACCAGGATGGTCTGAATCTCCTGACCTCGTGATCCACCTGCCTCGACCTCTGAAAGTGCTGGGGTTACAGGCGTGAGCCGCCGTGCCCGGCCTGGGAACCACTGCTCTCGTGATGTGTAGCTGTAAAGATGTCTTCCTTTGGATAAGAACTTTTGTAGGGGGATCCCTCTGGCGAGTGTTTCCAGATTTATCTTCTCATTCTAGAAACTTAACTGCTTAAAAGCTATTAAATAGATGGCCGGGGGGTTTTTACTCCTTCTTGACAGAGGAGCCAGAGAGTTATCAAATACTATCCAGCTAATCTTGGGAACTTTAAAAATATAAGAAACAAAAAAGAAAGGTATTTCAACAATGTTTTCTCCCTAATTTTAGCAACAAGGCAGAGACGGGGCAGGAGACTAAGGACAGCTGAGCAGGAAAGGACTTCAGGGATTGTCTGGTTCCAGCTCCTTATTTATGAGTGAGAAAAACGGGGACCAGGGAAGTTCCACTAGGAGCAGGTTATAGCACAGCCAGAAATGGAAACTGGATTTCTCTACTTTTTTCTCGGTATCTCTTTTTTTTTGCGATGGTGTCTCACTCTGCCACCCAGGCTGGAGTGCAGTGGTGCAATCTCGGCTCACTGCAACCTCTGCCTCTCGGGTTCAAACGATTCTCCCGACTCAGTCTCCTGAGTAGCTGGGACTACAGGCATGCCCCACTATACCCAGCTAATTTTTGAATTTTTAGTAGGGATGGGATTCCATGTTGACCAGGCTGGTCTCGATCTCCTGACCTCGTAATCCGCCTGCCTCGGCCTCCCAAAGTGCTGGGATTACAGGCATGAGCCACCGCACCCAGCCTGTAACTCATTTTTTAAATTTAATATTTGGAACTGAGCCTTAGAAAACTTTCTCTGCCTAAGATTTGCAAACCTCTGAGTGAACAGGGCCTAGAATAAATATGGTAGCATCAGATATGAAATCGTGAGACTCTTTGGGTTCAAGTTGCAGTTCGGCCTCAGCTTCGCCGTCTATAAAATGATATACCTCCTCTACAGGATTGCTCTGAAGACTGAAATAAGGTGATGAGAAGTGATAAAGTACTGTAGAAGTGGTGACCGTGATGGCAGTGAGAAGGAAGCTGTGTGGCTGTTCTGAATGGTGGCATCCAAAACTCAAATGTGAGGAAGGGGGGCTGATTAGGACGGGGACAAGGCAGAGGAGGACAGAGGCACCCTAAAGGCAGCACACGCGGCTTGTTGGAAGACCAGCTTTGAGGGTCCTGATTGTCCCTGGGTGCCATGTTGATTGTCCTGTGAACACTTGGGCCAACTTGAATGTTGGGAAGTGAGAGGAAATGTGTACAGCCTGGCCACCCAGCAATGAGGACCCTGTGGGATCCTTGTCTGTATGTGAATCTCTGTGTTGTCCCAGCCCATTAAGCAGGGACTCCAAGCTCACGGGGAGGCCATGACCATGCCACTTAGGGAGAGAATGAAGGGAGGGAACAGTTATGAGGAAATGTCACAAGCACAGGAGCTCCTAGGAGGTTATTTGAGCACGTCCAAAGGAGGGTGACTAAGAAGCGCTCTCACGGCAGGTTCCGTTTGGAGAAGAGAAGGATTCTGGGGTGTACCATGGATGCTCTCGGCTCTCTCTCGGGCTGTCGTATAAACGGAGATTGGCTGGTTTTGTAGAGCAGCCAAGTATGTAGGCAAAGGCTAAGTCATGAGGGAGGAGACGCATCCCCAGCTCAGAAGGCAGAACTTGCAATTTCGATGGCTTCAGGAGAGAGTGAGATTCGTGTCCCTGAGGGAGATGAAAGTTATGTTGAGTAATTACCTGGCCTTGGTACCAGAAGGAACGTTCAGTGCTCAGATGGGAATTGACTTCCGATGTGCCTTTCTAACCTGAAATTCTTTGAACGTGGAAAGCCTTCCATTCAGTTCCAGCCAGAGAATTTTACAGAAGGCTGACTGACTCACAAGACAATCCAGGAAATATCTAAAGCAGGAAGAAATGAGAGGTGAGGGCTTCCCGTGGGCAGAATTGAAGGAGAACAGGAGCTCAGGTGCAAGGAAGGGACGTGGGGATGAGATGTGCTGGGAACCCGAGTGTGTTGGACAAGCGGTGTGCCCAAGGCTGGAGGTCGGGATATCAGAGGGGGATTTACAAACAAGCAAGCAGACGTCAGGGAAAGGATGGCAAAGCACTGGCCAAGCCTCGGGTGGCGCGGAAATACTGAGGCAAAACCTACCCCGCATGGGCTGGTGACGCAGCTGGGGCGGCCGTGCCGGTGACGCAGGCAGCAAACAAATGCTGGAAACCCATGACTTTGGAGTGACGAGGGCTTGAGATGTGAGCTTTCAAAGAGCTGGAAAGGATCCGTAAGGCCCCCAAAGCTTTATGATGACTTTCTTTGCCGTGAACGCTGGTAGCACTCGACACTTAATGGAATGAGCATTAAAAGCACGTGGTTTGTATTCAGAGGTTTACAGTGCACAGTGGGAAACAGTACCGTGTGAAAAGAACGATCTTTATAGATACCCCCGCCCTTTACTCATGCCCATGCCTCGCCCTGTTGTTCTCATCGTTGGTGAGGCCTATTCTTAGCTGGATGTTCCCACCTCCCAACGAGAGAGACGGCATATGAATAACCTCCCTGCCGCTGAGGGCACCGAAAGCTGAAGTGTGGATGACCGGCTCCAGGCCCGTCATGCCAAGAGGCAGACCCAGGGGTGTCTCTGACCCCTTTACATCCTCTGCTGTCTGTGTGATAGCCAAAACCTGCCCAGCTTATGTTGTCAGACTGTAAACTGAGTTCAAAGAGCCTTTTGGTTTTAGCTGATGCGGAGCTGTGTAAGGTGATGGTCATGACAGCTTTTGGTATGTGTCTGTCCTCATAGGGGTTCGGGGGCGGAGTCAGCTCCTACACCTCCAGTCTGTGCTTACCACTTTCAACTCTTCCTGCCCGACTGCAGTGGAGACGTAGTCCTCTGAGCATGCAGGGCCCTGGAGTCAGGGCGCAAGGGTGGCCAGCTCTCAGGAAGCTGTCCTGGTCCAAGCATGGTGGCTTACACCTGTAATTCCAGCACTTTGGGAGACCAAGGTGGATGGATCACATGAGGCCAGGAGTTCAAGACCAGCTTGGCCAACATGGCGAGTCCCCGTCTCTAATAAAAATACAAAAATCAGCCGGGTGTGGTGGTGCATGTCTGTAATCCCAGCTACTTGGGAGACTCAGACATGAGAATCGCTCGAACTCAGGAGGTGGAGGTTGCAGTGAGCTGAGATGAGTCACTTTACTCCAGCCTGGGTGACAAAGCAAGACACAGTCTCAAAAAAAAGAGGGAAGGAAGGAAAGAAGGGAAGGAAGGGAAGGAAGGAAGGAAAGAAAAAGGAGGAGGAAGAAGGGAAGAAAGAAAGAACAAAAGAAAGAAAGGGAGGAAGGAAGGAAAGAAAGAAAAAGAAAAAAGGACGGAAGGAGAGAGAAAAAGAAAGAAAGTGAGAAAGAGAAAAGGAAAGAAAGGGAAGGAAGGA